CAGTTCCATTTGTTGGTGTTGGGTGGAATATGGTTGATGTAATTATTGCTTGCTTCAGCTTTAACTTTTTCTTTCTTTTTTCTTTCTCACTTTAATCTTTATCTTAGAGCATCCACAATGCTTTGGGTCTATTTTTGTACATGTGGCATATAATTGAACTTGAGTTTTAAATGACATGGACAAACCCAAGTAAAAAAACTCAAAAACTTTGCAATGCAAAAATAAAAAGACTAGGTCTATCATACATGTCAACCAATAGAAATGCTCTAATATGTTTTATTCATTAAAAAAAAATTAAATTAAGAACAAATGATGAGTGTTTGGATTTGTACTTGGGTCCAAAATAGACCCAAGTGTGGACTTGGTCTCTTTTTTTCATTGCCACATAAGCTAGATCATGTCTACTTTTAATTGCATTGGGAAGTATTTTTTTTATAGACTAAGTCTATTTCCCATGTGACATGTGATTTTTTGTTAAAAGACCCAAAGCATTGTGGATGCTCTTATTAGATGAATTTTTATCTTTTATCTTTTAAGCTTTGATGTTAAAATGGCAGATGGTAACAAATATGTTTTTTCAATATATTATGTAAAAGAAATGAAAGTGTAATATTTTATTGATTAAATATATATTTTTATGAAAAAAATATGACTCTTGGTTGGACAGAATTTGGCTGGTAAACAGTTTTTTTCCTTAGCTTTTAGCAGTTTGACCATATCTGACACCTAATGTGTTTTTTTCATCCAAGACCTTATTGAACACAAGTACTGTAAGTTATTGTAAGTTGGTTATATTTTTATTTATTTATTTTGTTTTTTTATCGTTAAGTTTGGTTATATTTTGATGAAATTTGGTGGTAGTGTAATTGTAAAAGTAGAGAGGAGTGTGCTCTGCTGGACCTATTTTGTCATTATTTTGTAGGACTACTTTATGGAGACTACTTTATTTTGTAGCCAGCTCCAGATTTTAGGACCAATCGTAGTAGTGCGGTAGTATCTTTTATTATTTCCTATGTTGGCTAATCTAAAATTTATTTTTTCTCATAAACATTTGGATATGGCCTGTCTCCTTGTTAGTTTTTTGTTCAACCAAATGATACCGATCTTTGCGCAAGCTTTGCAGGTGTGATTTATTGTGTTAACCAAGTTGAAATTAAGAGAGAGGTGGCCTTTCCATAGGTCTGTGTTCTTGTGTTTTTTCTAAAATTAAGGGGACATTTGAATACTCAAAAAGTTATTATTATTTTTTATTTAAATGATACTCGTAAATACTCCACTCCTGTTCATAAATGTTGTTTTGAGAAGTTGTAAAATAATTAAGAATTTTTTTTGTCAATAATAATCATCTTCAATGAAAATTAATAATGTGAAATATAAGAGTAAATATGAAAAGACGTAGTGTATTTATTAGCTAAATGAGGGTAATAGTAGAAAAAATGAATTTTTTCAATACAAGATCCGAAAGATGTGTAAACTATCAAATCGGGGCCTGAAAGATTTTTTTTTTCTCAATTCGGGAATTAAATGTTATAAAACTATCAAATTAAGTCCTAGAATTAACAAAACTCATAACATCATTAAATTGAAAGGTAAAAAGGAAAAAAGAAAAGAAAAGATTGGTGCTTACTCACATAAAATAATAAGTAAACATTCGCATAATATTTCAAAAAAAAAAAAAAAACAGAAATAGACGATAGCAAGAAAACCGAGCAAGAGCTTCATACTTTCCTTAATTTTCTCCAACAATCTCGCATTTTTCTTAATTTTCTTCATTTTTTTTCCTTTTTTTTTTTTACTTTGTAACAGATTTGGTGTTTTAAAACTTCAAATTAACTCTCAATTTAATGGTGTTATGGGTTTTATTAATTCTAAGACTTAATTTGATAGTTTTATAACATTTTGGTCTCGAATTGAGAAAATAAATCATTTAGGCCTCGATTTGATAGTTTATCTATCTTTCAGGCCTTGTATTGAAAAAACTCCAAAAAATAAGTTTTTTCAATACAAGACCCGACAAAAGATCCAAAACGTCATTTATTTGGTTAATGATTGATAAAGCCAAAATGACATTTAAAAAGAATAAGAGTAGTATTTACTATAATTTAGAAAAATCGAAACTTTATTGATACTTTTTTTGCATTTATTATTTTGTAAACAAACTTAAAGTTCCAAGTAAGAAAAAAAATTAAAAAAACAGAAAAACAAAAGAATGGAGACAAAAAATTAAAATAAAATCTAACAACCTAGACTATAAGAGCATCTCCAATGTGACTTTTGACATTATAAAAATCCATCCATATCATCAACTTTTGAAAGTTTGTTACAAATTTATTCTCCAATGCATCTTGTCATAAACTCTTTCATGATGAGGTGGATAGCATTTAATGTTGACAATGTTGAACACACTTTCTAATATCTAACACCATGTTAAACATGATGACTAATCAATTCACTTTATATTTGATTTAATTTTTTATTGTTCTTGTATTAATGATTATTTTAATTGGTCCACCTATACATATAACTTCTTATCAAATTGATGCATTGGAGATACTAATTTGATTCAAATTTCTACTCTTTTAACATTATTCCTACATGGGTTAACATTACAATCATTGATTGACATGTGTTAAAAATTATTGTCTTTCAAAGTTATAACATTGGAGATGCTCTAATAAATAATAAATTGGTGAAACACGTCATACCCTTTCTATCAGATTTCACTACAAAGCAACTACCCAGATTCACCAGTACTTAATCGTGCGAGAGTGAATAATAAAAAAATTGTATAAATTAAAGTAATAAATATTGACTATTATAAAATAAATTTAAAGATGATATAAATTTTTATATTTAATTTATGATTATAATAAATTATAGTTTAATATGTTATTTATATGCTTATTCCGCTTGTTATATAATAATTGTTCTCTTAAAATTTTGATTTAGAATTAAGAAATATAAAAATTTAATACATTTAAATATTATCGGTAAATAATACTCACAAAAATATTTTCCTCTATCTCCCTCTCTTCTCTTACTCATGCCATATTTTTTTTTATCTTTTTGTGTTCAATAAAATGAAATGTCACGTATTTACAAATTTGAAATATGTCCTTGTGCAATTTTATTTAAAAAACTGTGAAAGAAATATTTTTCTTATATTAAATTAGGTGGAATGTCGATATTTTCACGGATTATTTAGAGTGGGGTTTCAATTGTATCTCATAGCAATTATTTTTTCTAATAATTTAATGGGGGATTGATATTATGATCACAACCTCATCTGTATCATTTTCCTATTTTTTGTCTGACTGATTGTAGTATAAATATGTAAGAAAAAAATTTGAAACTAAAAATATGTTTAACAAAATATTTTTAGAAATTTTCCTAACAACCACTATATATAAAATCCATATCATTTGGTATGTAAAAGATATCCGACCGGCTGGATTCGGCCTGAATACGAGCTATTCGCCGGTTGAATGCTTTTAGACCTGTAAAAACTCTCACACCGGAGGGGTTTTACGGCGAAGAACCTCTAATGTTTAAGTTAAAACTTGTAGAAGATGAAGTGCAGAATGTAAATATATGTAGAGAGTGTAATGTGGTGGTGGATATACCTCACTCCCTTACGTAGGAAAGTGTTGCCTTGTTGCCCAAGACTGCCCGAGTGAGCTGCCCAAACTACCCAATTCAGTTAGGCCACGTGACCCTATCCACGTGTAACTTTTATCCCCTTAAGATTATTTCTTATCATTTAGTCTTTCGTATTAGACCGCCTAATGGTGCGACCAACTCGAGGTTGGCTAAGGCAGATTGTTGTCTGTTCTGAACCTAAGTGTTGTCCTTTTTGGTCGATCACACGACCAACCATGCCTACAGATCGAGTTTCCAGCAAGTCATCCGAGGGCCTTAGCTCGACCTATCGTTGTCCCTCTGAACCGCTCTCGCTCTTTTTGACCTGAAGACTTATCCTTTCAACCTCCTTGCTGCTCTGCTTCAACCAACCAGTTCGTTCGACCTGATTAGCCGGTTTTTTGGGGTTTGCTC